AAAATATAACTTTTGCAAACCATTCGAAGGCAACTGATTCTCCAGAAACGCACACAAATTCAGTAGTTCAGGAAAAAAGAGATGCAATGGCGTGAAATCTTGGTAAAAGTTGTGTTACTTAAAATAATACTATTAGAAAAATGCAGCTCACTTGAGTCAAACATGCATTACAAATATTAACTACATGATTGTTGGTGGAATACATTTCATCCATGTATCTGAATTTATCATTGGGAGTTTAACCAACATTCTCAAAGACGAACGGGAACAGGAAGTCAGTAGAAGACAAAAGACTTTTTCATTGGCCGTGGGGGAAAGTTAATAGCGTGGGAGAAAACAGAGGTGTTAATCCAAAAATTCATTGTCTGTTCTTGTTATTAGTGAAAGAACCCCCTGTCCAGTGTGAGTTCTGTGGGTGACCCTCTCAATTGCGATAAGCAGGCCTTACACTGACAATTGGTCTGGCAACGTTTGGGGATTGTGACGTAGCTCTGTCTTTGATCAGATGTAATAACTTTATTTTAAGAATAAAGAATCAATGTTATAATAGTTACATTTTTTTATCTCGTCAGAAAACATCAGCAAGTAGTGTTTATTTTTAATCAATTGGAGCCGATTTTCAAAAATGATTTTAACATTCTTCCGTTTATTTTATTTTTTTTATTTAATATTTCAGATATTGACGAATGTGCGTATACTTCACCATGTCTAAACTATGGTATATGTATAAACACCCTGGGGTCATACACATGTGACTGTACAAACACTGGATATCATGGTACAGGCTGTGTGATTGGTAAGTACATTCACTTGTTACATTCTAGCCTCACTTTTGCAAGTTGTGCAATAATGAACTATGATGTGTGGGTCCCTGCCAGAATAAAACATTCCTATTACGACTAATAACTTCCGCCCTCTAGCAACGTGTGCTTGTTTGGCATCAGCAATGACGTAGACGAGTTTAAGCAATGTTTTTAAAAACGTTTGCTTCATTGAGTTCTGTAGTTATTGTCATTTAAATATCAAAATTACTATAACCAGTTTTGTTTAGTGACCAATGACCACAGATCAAAACAATACTGAGACTGAGGTCATAGAAATGTTTAATTGCTAGATCACATGATTTATAGGAAGGCTGGTTTCATTTATGAGTGCTGGATGTCATCGAGGTATAGATGCAAGTCTGTGGGCATGCGCACTCCTTAAACTAAGTTTTTGCTTTTTTTATAATTAGACAGTCTTAGCTTCACATGTTAAAATGTTGACCTTCAAAACATAGTGAAATCATGCTCCAGTTTTCTATGAAAAGTACAAAAAGGCACGTAAATAATTGAAATTATAATTCAGCTGTAAAATTTGTTGTCATGCAGATTCTCTATTTAATAAATAACTTTTTACAAAACAGTAACCAGTCTGTTCATGTCAGAGTTGTGGACAGCTTCTTTATAAGTGTCTGTAACATTTGCACTGCGTGAATAATTATGTAAATTATTCGTTCTTCTAAATGGTGTTTTGTAGTTTGTCAGGAAATTTAAAGTTAAATCCTAAGAATTTGCTTTGTTTCCTGTGAAATGTCTCCCTACATTCATCAGCAATGTATCAAACAAACCATGTAATTAAGACGACTTCCGGCATCTTTATCTGAGAACAAACCATAAATATAAATGTATATATTTATAACACGTTTATAACGACCACAGTCTTATGTCATTTACTGTATATGCCAGAAATAGTGTCTGATGTGAACAGTCACTCTCCTTTATTTGTAAGATTCTGTAGTGACATTCTATGTATGTTGTATATTATTATCATCACATGAATGTATATTTCAGATATCAATGAATGTCTCCATACTCCGTGTCATAACAATGGTATATGTATAAATACACCAGGATCGTACACATGTGACTGTTCACAGACAGGATATGAAGGCGTTAGCTGTGAGAATGGTAAGATAATATGATCCGTTGTTACTGTCAATAACGCAAGATTACAGTTACAAGTGTCATAGTGACATAGTCATACTATCTATGAGATGATTCAAGCTTAAAGGGACGGTGGTCCTCGCGCAGCATATGTGCAACATTTGTGTTGGTACACATTGATTTTCTTTAAATCCAATGCACTTTTTTGATGTAAAATCACAAGTACGAGTTTTTGCTTGGGCGTGAGGTGCACTAAGTACCATCGGTGACTCGTTTGATACATTCCAATCTTCAAAGAAATTACATAGCTAAATCTTTGTAATGTCTCAGCTTGTACACGCTGGTCAGATCTTTGTTCATATGAGAATCATATCTTGCGCATGCGTGGCGTGACGACCACTGCCCTTTATAACTCTTTTCTGAATCAATTTTAAGTCAAGTTTGCATATAAATGTGTGTGCGTCTGTTGAATTGTTCTTCTTTTTTTGGCCACTACTTAAGGTTACTCAGAACCGGTTCTCCATATTGTCAATCCTGGGGATCTTTTTTGGGGATAACAGCTCATTCACCATGATAAATACACACAACACAATAATAATTCAGTCGTTGCTAGCAGAGTGGTGGCCGTTCCATCACCGTGAACTCTTTTATTCAAAAGCATATAACGATCTACATCATAGACGATTCTGACATAAACTCTGCCCTCTAAAGTTGTGCTAGCCAATCACATGATGATGACTCATCATATTCGAACATTAGGCCAATCATAAACACTTCCGCTAACAATAAGCCAATCATTGTCACTTTAATTAACATTAAGCCAATCACAGACACTTCTGTTAACATTAAGCCAATCACAGACACTTCTGTTAACATTGAGCCAATCACAGACACTTCCGTTAACATTAAAGATACACTAGCTGTAACGACCTAGTTTTTTGTATTGCAAACGTGTTCTACATGAATAGCAATTATTTCCGTTCTATTAGCTGAAACTAGTTCAATTATTTGGTACCGGGCCCTTCTGTATGCTTTATAAGCTCGCTAAAAGCACTGAATCAACATCGTGAAGTGTTTATTGTACGTACCCTAAGCTCCGTTTGTTAAACCATCATACGTCATTACTGATTGTTCGCGCGTGCGCAATTCCGAGTACTTTGTTG